TTCTTTGAGGTTCCCCCCCACCACCATTCCTCAAAAATAATTTAAAAGTTCTCTTTACCCTCTCCCACCCTTTATCCTCTCAACCTGTGGTAACATCACTTTGGTTATGTGTCCACTTGTATTTTCATTGTGCTTTGTCAGTTTGTACAATTGCATCCTTTCATTCCTCTTATATGTAAAATCAATCAATCCTTTATTTTTCTGGCTAATTTTACTTTGCCTAATTATCTTAATTTCCTGCTGCAAATGGCAGCTTCATCTTTTTCAATAACCAAATATTACTCCATTGTGTATATACAGTACATCTTCTTTATCCAAACATTTATCAATGGGAACTTTGTTTGCTTCTATATCTTCACTACTGTAAATAATGTCATAGCAAACATTATGGGACATATACTCATCAGATTGATACCCAGAAGTGGGATCATGCTGGATTATGTTTTTTTTTTATTAAAAAGTTTATTTTTACATCATTTGGATTATGTTTTAAGTTCTAGCTTTTTAAAAAAAAATGATTTATTTATGCATACAGAACTAGAATGCAGGCCAGAGTTGCAAGAGCAGTGAAAGGATTCACCAGAGACAGAGTGGGGAGTAGGACAGACAGATGAGGGGTGAGACAGGAGAGGTCTGCTGTGCCATGTGGGTCACCTCCTGGGCCAGGAATTGAACTCGCACTGAAGTGACTGGCCAGTGCTGCAGTGCTGCATCCTAAGCTGTTGCACCACAGGGAGGGTCCTCTTTTCCCATCTTAATGTTGTGGCTCCTTTTCATAAATGAGGTATGTCAGTTAACTTATGGATTCTTTTTTGGTGTAATCGTAAATGGGATTGTTTTCTTAATTTCTTTTTCTTCTTATTTGCATATAATGAAAATACAATGTATTTTTGTGTATTTTAATCTTCTATTTTAACTTATTGTTTCTGGTAGCTTTTTGATAGAGCCTTTTAAGTGTTTTCTATATGTATTATCACACTGTATGCAAGTAACAATAATTTCACTTCCCAATCTGTATTCCCTTGTATTATTGTTTAATTACTTTAGCTAAAACCTCTAAATTAAACAGAAGAAGTGACAGTGGAAAACCTTGTGTTGTTCTTTATCTTAAAGCTTTCTATTTTTGATCATTAGATATGTATTGGCTATAGGTTTTTTAATATATGGCTATTACTTTGTTGAGACATGTTTCTTCTGTACCCATTTTACTAAGTTTTATAAATAAATGGTTACTGTCTCTTTTCCAAAACTATCTACATCTGTTGATATGATCATATGATTTTTATCCTTTTATTGATATAGTTTATTGCATTAATTATTGTGTATGCGAAATCATTTTTGCATCCTTGGAATAAATCCCCCTGATCATGGTGTATGATCCTGTTCATGTATTATTGAAAAATTTTTCATTTTATTAGAAATGTTAATCTGTAATTTTACTTTTATTATGGTGCCCTTGTCTGGGTTTGACATTACACTGGCTTCATAGGATGTGTTAGGAAGTGTTCCCTCGGAGTTTTGGGGGAGAATTTGAAAAATTGGCATATGTGGTCCTCTGTGGTGGCACAGTGGGTTAAAGTGCAGCTCTAGGAAGCTAACACCACTTCAGCATGGTTTGATCCCCCACCCAGGGTGTGATCCACATGGCATGGGAGACCTCTCCTGACCAGCCCGCTTCTTCTCTCAGCAGTGTACTTCAAAAGTCAGCCTGTTCTGCTCCCCACTCTGTCTCTGGTGAATCCTTTCACTGTTCCTGAGCTTCTGGCCTGTACCCCCAGTTCTGTATAAATAAATAAATCTTAAAAAAAATTGGCAGATGTTCTTTGAGGTTTGATGTAATTCACTTGTAAAGTCATTGGATAACATAAAATTCCGTGGCTTTGCTTTTTTTTTTTTTTTTTAGATTTCTGATTACTGCTTTAGTTTCAGTAATTGATTTTTCTATCACATTTTCTTTTTCATGGGTCAGTATTGAAAAACTGCATGCTACACATTTTTATGCATAGTTATCAAATTTATTGGCATACTAAAGTTAGTAGTAGTCCCTTGATCATTTGCATTTAAAAAAAATTTACAGATGCATACAAGAGCTGGGGTGTAGGCCAGAGGTATGGGGGAGGTGAGAGGGTTCACCAGAAACAAGCATTGGGAGCAGAACAGGCAGATCAACTGCAGTATACTGCTGAGGGGAGCAGCAGGCAAGACAAGAGAGGTCTGCTGCCATGTGGGTTAGCTTACTGGCTGGAGTTCGAACTCATTCTGCAACAGCTGATAGATAGCACTGAGACTTACAGCCTATACCACCAGGGAGGACCTATTTTAAATTTATTGAGATTTGTCTTATGGGCTAGTATAGTTTAGAGAATGTTCCATTGAACTTGAGAATAATATCCACTCTGTTGGGTAGAATGTATAGTGAATATTTCATGTCTAGTTGGTTTATAATGTTGTGTAATTCTTAACCTTGCCGGTGTTCTGCTTAGTTATTCTATCCATTTTTTAAAGTGAGCTATTGAGGTCTTTTTAAGTATTGTTGGACACAGTTGGTCAACTATAAACTTCTGTTTCATTCTTTTAAAAAAATAGTTTCTATCAGTATCCTCTACTTGGTGAGATCTTAGGTTCCTACCTTCCTTTATTTATTTAGACATGCTTTTTTTTTTCTTTTGCATTTTGATTTTATTTATAATTGCTGATTTAAAGTCCAATATATGAACTTCCTCAGTTTCTGTTGAATTTTAGTTTTTGTATATTGGTCATATTGTTTCTTAGTACCTTTTCTTAAAGAAAAAATTGTACTTTAAAAATAATACAGTGTTACATCTCTGCAAATAATCAGATTCTTCTCCTTTCATAGGGTTTGATTTTTAGTGACTTTTTTGAACTAATTTTTTTTTAAAGATTTATTTATTTATACACACAGAATTGGGGTACAGGCTAGAGGTGCAGGGTGGTGAGAGGATTCACCAGAGACAGGGTGGGGAGCAGAACAGGCAGATTGATGAAGTATACTGCTGAGGGGAGCAGTGGGCGGGTCAGGAGAGGTCTGCTGCTCCATGTGGATCACCTCGGGGCAGGTGGGAATCGAACTCATGCTGCAGTGGCTTTAGATTCTTAGTGCTGTACTTTAACCCGCTGCACCAGCAGGGAGGGCCCTGAACTAATTTTTTAGTTTGTTGTTCTTTGTCATGTATGACCACTGAAATTTCTGTTCAGTTATCTTATTTTTAGCTAGTGATTTTACAGAGATTTCCTTAAATATGTTGTGTCAGTAATCTTGCCAGCTTTGATGAGGTGCTTTCTGCCGTCAGCTGTGTCTTGTCCTTTATTTCCTGTTGTAGCGAGCCTCAATTAACTAGAGTTTAGAGATAGCACTTTGTGGGGTATTTCTTAGTGACACACACAGTCCTGTATGTGTGTCATGGCATTTTCAAGGCCCAGAAATAGATTGGTGCTTTTCAAAGTCCTTTGTGGACACCCCATTCCTTAGGTCCCCTTTAAAAGTTTTTGAATAGTCTCCTTTCAGCCCCAAGTCTTGGGTCAACTGTGGTATTAGACAGTTCTTCCTGATTGCTATGGAGATAGGACAATGAGCTTTGAGATAGGTCAAACAAAGACAAACCTTCAGTGTAGAGCTTTCCTTTAAGCTGCAGACAGGTCAAATAATGACAGCTCTCCAGGGATGCACTTCTGGAGAGCTGTAAGCTCATTTGACCTCTCTGGTGGCAGCTAGACTCCTGGCTTTTACTGTTAATCAGAGTTGTGAGGTGGTCAGTTTTCAAGGTTACTATTGCACTAGAAGAGGAAGAGGAGTTAAAATGACACAAAGGTTGCTACTCTACCAAGATTCAGCCATTTTTCTTGAATAAATGATCCTTAGAATGTTGCATGTGCTTAGTTAATTTCAAAAGTGTTGAAAATGTTAATTTTGATCAATTTTGGCAGTATTCTTCATGCTTTTGTGAAGGAACAGATTTTCAGAGCTCTTTACTCTGCTCCCCCTGAGTACTTTGTCACACGAAACACCCTTGTGCAATAAGAGTATTAATAAGCATGCTGTGCTCGCCTCTTTTACTTTGCTTTGGGTTTTTTCTCCTTGTCCATGTGTTTGCTGTCTTAAAGTCACCCCAAGGAGGTGTTAAAAGAGCACAGTTACTGTAAACTGCTGGTCATGGCTCTTAACTTATTGGAAGTGAGTTGCAGCCCCGGATGCCTGAAAGCATTGAGCTCTTGATCCTTTGTCACCACTGCAGACCCCAGGGCCTGTTGATGTGCTGGCTTACTGTTGTAGAGTCTGCCCAACTTTGTACTCTTTCCTGTATCCATTATTCCCCTAAAGTAGGGCCAAGACAAAAAACCTAATAGCTAAAATGGCATTTTCTCTGGATACTGTTGGATTTGAAATTCAGCCTATACAGAACATAAATTTTTCCATATCGGGTCTTACTGTCCTTGTTAACAGCTTGAATTTTCTACAAATATATATTTTTATGTCTATCCATTTCAAATCTAAGTTCTCACATATATAAATTTGAATTTTTCATACAGCGAGAAGTTCTGAGTTCTGGGTATTTTCTTATTCCAGCCTCTTATTTTAGTGATAATCAGTCTTTAGCTCTGTAAGATGGAAATGCAAGTGCCTGTTGGTAAAAAGTAGAGAAATAATGTGCTGGAAAAATGTATGGTTATAATTGTATCATTATTAATATTTTACAGCATACATTTTTGTCTTAAATGTTTGTGTATTTTTTCTTCTATATTACATAATTTATCCAAGTAGTCTAAAATGTGACATTAGCTGGTATTATGACAATTTTGAAATCTTGAAAGATAAAACTCGAAACATTTGCTTGTATTTTTTTTCACCTCAGAGTGTTTTGTTAATGAGACATTTTATACTGCCATAAACCCAGGGCAATAATAAAGGTGTTGATTGATTTTTGGATGACAAGGGGCTTCTCTAATTGCAGAATTTGACGTTTGTGTCACTTCTGTTTTAGGTGAGCAAGACATGGAAGGTGATTGCAGAAGATGAAGTGCTCTGGTACAGGCTGTGCCAACAGGAAGGGCACCTTCCTGAGAGCAGCATCTCTGATTATTCTTGCTGGAAGCTCATCTTCCAAGAGTGCCGAGCCAAGGAACACATGTTAAGAACCAACTGGAAGGTAGGCAGTGGCCAATATCGTCGTCACCTGTAGAATGGTAGTCTGTAAGAGCACAGGGATGCATGACTAGGATTAAAGACAGTCTCCCAGTAAAGCTGGAGGTTAGTGGCCAAAGCCAAAAGAGGGGGGTAAGGTGAAGGCCCCTAAGGAGTTTGCTTTCTAGTTTGTTTGCCACTAGAATATCTGCTTTCATTTTTATCACACTGTTTGGGAGCATTCTGTTCTCTTGGAGAGAAAAGGTGAGATTGGGATGCAAGTCACTTCCCCTCTGGTAGCTAGGGTCTTTGGATAGCGCTCAGTACTGCCCCTTTCATGGACCAAGAAAGCTAAAGTGCCACCTGAATACGAAAGAGAAGCTGAAAATGCTATTTCCAGTAATTGTAAGTGGGAGATTACTAAATGTCTCTAAGTCTTCTCTTCCCTCACATAACCCCTTGGCTTGCGTCCATAACATTTATCACTTCAAAATGTTTATATAGAGATATTAGATCACAGCTAAGATTTTGCACAGTGAAATGTTTCTATAGGAAATAACTGTCAAGAGCAGTATTACCTATAGCCGCTGGAGACTTGATGAGACAGCGTGGTGGAGTGTCCCCCAGCTGCCCAGCTGGGTATTCACTTGTATGGGAGAGGCAGGATTCTACTCTTTCTTCTTCTGTATAGGTCAGTCCTGACAGACTTTGAAATTAACAAGCTTTGCTCATTACTGTTGGTGACATACTTCCTATGTGTATGTCTGTCCCCAGTCACCTCATAATCTGATGAGTGATGAATACTTCTGTCTGGGCAACCTTGTATCATTTCTAGCAAAGTTAGTAAGAGCAGCATTTCTCTAATTCAAGGTTTTTCAACCTCAGCACTAGTGATATTTGGCACCAGATAATTTTTTTTTAAATAATATAATAGTTTATTTTCACATCATTTTGTGCCATTTTCCAGCTCAGTTGTAATCCCTGTGGGCTGCCATCACCAAATCACCCATGTGCCATCACTATAGTCCAGTGCACTTTCCTCCCCACCCATTTTTGATCCCATTCCCCACTCCACCCCTGTAAAATGTCTCTGGTCTATAGTTGTTCATTATTATTATTTTCTCCTCTGGTCCTTTATATTCCTGCTGTGAGTGATGCACCAGATAATTCTTTTTGGTGAGAGCTGTCCTGTGCTTCCAGGGTGCTAAGTAGCAACCTGGGCTTCTACCCACTCGAGGCTAGCAACACTATCTTCCTAACCCAGATGTGACAACCAGAAATGTCTTCTGACATTGTCAGATGTCCCCTGATGGGCAAACTCACTCCCTGTTGAATATTGTCTTTCTAAGGTAGAATCAGCGCAGCTACCCTTTGCTAGGCCATTAAATTATCACCACTGTATAAAATCATTCTGGCCCCATTGTCTGTACACAACCACCAGGTAATGAACTTGGGTTGGGGGGCCTCCGGTCTTCTTGCTGTGTGCTTGATTAGGTCTGTGTGAAAGACATAAGAAGCAGGTATGAAGATTTGACAAAGAAAACTGCCTGGACAAACTGGGGGCAGAAAGCAGAGGACCTTATCCTGGTAGCAGGGGTTGTAACTTAAGGAAAACCTAGGGAGGTGGCATAAACTGGGGCCTTTCTGGTTGGATAAGAGGGACTCCTTGGCAGTTTGCATGCGAACCAGAGCTGTTCAGTGTACCTGCCTCAAATTCAAAGATGTCAAACTCAGAGAGAAAGCAGCAGCTAAGGTCTTTATTTCCTCTTTGGTAATAGAGAAAGTTAGGGAAGGAGACAAGTACCACCTCCTCTTTGGGGCTAGAGATGCAGAAGTAAGGGTGTGTAAAGACCCACCTGGTAGCAGCTATACTTCATAATAGTGTACGTGTTAACTTAACTGAATGCCCGCTCACTGTTTTTCTCTAAAAAGCACAAAGGCATATGCTTTGTACATGTTCAGTTTGGAGCAGATGTTGCCCTAAAGAACTCGAGTCCAGCTGCTGTGGGGTGTGAGGCCAACTTGCCTGTCAGTTGCAGCACCATCGCAGTGGGACAGCCCAAGTGATGTGCTCGACAGTCATCTTGGCATTAACTGTGTTTGTGGAATTCTTGATGTGATTCTGGAGTGAAAGAAAACAGGGTCAGGAAAGGGTGTGTTAGAGCGGTTCACTCCCCTTGGTTGTCTCGTCACAAGTGGTACTGGCAGGGCCGTGACGAGGGTGGCTTTCAATCTGATCGTCCTCCTTTTCTTCCAATACCTTGTTCCTCAAAAGAGCTTTTCTATTCTAGTAAACTTTGTGGCAACCCTCACATGAGTGACTCGAGACCTCCCCTCAGTCCCCACATCCCCACTAGCAGGACAGCCCACTAGGACATGACTGGTCCCTCAGCTTTAGACTTGGCCCTGGCATTTCCTGAGCTCATAGTGCGGTTTTCCCTGCACATGCCTGGGCAGGGAAAATATCACGTGATATTTTAATGGTGGTCTCCTCCATCCTCCTAGTAATACAGACAGCAGTAGTTGCTCCTATTTATCAAGCACCTGCTTGATGTTTAGAACTATGCTCGACACACCCTTTCTGATCCTTGTCTCCAGCCCCTTGGAGTTGAACACAGTGTGTCCTATAGGAAACAGTTGTGCAAGGTGGGTGAATGTGAGGTGGTCTGTCCTGGGCTGTCCCAAGGAGAGTATACATTTCATTCCCCTTTTCCTTTGCAGAATCGCAAAGGCGCTGTGAGCGAGCTGGAACATATCCCTGATGCGGTTCTGTGTGACGTGCGTTCTCACGACGGCGTTGTCATTGCTGGGTAAGCAGCGCTGTTTCTTACCTCGCCCTTTCCATCCGAAGGGATTTCATGTTTTATGTATAACCCTCTTAAGTCCCAATGGCCTTTTGCCCCACTGACCTTATCTTTCCTGGAGAGTTTGTACCTTCCCACATACAGCCCACGTGTAAGAGGGGAAACTCCATGAGTCTGCTCTTTGGTATTTGAGAGCTTTGAAGTTAGTGGTGAGAGGGGAGTAGTGTGGAGCAGCTCTGTAACCCATTTATCTCCATTTGTCTCTGCTAGCTTTTAAATCACTCCTGTGGCATGTTATGTTAGATTTTCATTAAGGCAAACAGTTTGTATTTTATGAAGACATAAAAAAGTCCAGTAAGAATAATAAGTGTTGGCACAAGCAGGGCCTGTTCTCATCCTCCTGTTCTGAAGCCTTCATTATGAGGGAGGATTGAGAACATGCATAATCGCCCTTCCTACAACATCGTGTGTATTTGCTAGTTAGTTTGTTCAAAAGTAGGCTTTTTATTTGTCTCCATGTCCATGAAGTTTAATTTTAGCTTCTGTAAATTCCTTTGCTTCTATTCTAAAACCTACTTTAATGAATTTTTGATAGTTCGCTGTGTATTTCTTTAATGCATAATGAGAAGATCAGTTTCCTTTGGATTAAGACATCTTCAACTACATTCTCAAATTGTGTTATACTTAAGTGTCATATTGTGATGATAAGAACACTTAAAACTTGTGAGTCTGGATTGACTTTGGAACAAGCTGCCCCAGAAAAAGGGAAAAGAATAAAGCAAACCTTGGAGTGAAATAACTTACTAGTAGGAAGTCTTATTAGAAAAAGAACAACTTTCCTTTAGAAGTAAACCTTGAGAAGCAGTGGTTGGCCTGGAACTCCAGTCATTGTTTTAATATTTTGTGGTATGCCATATTTGTGAAGTATTTGTGCTTTAAAAAAGATAAGCTGGGCCCTCCTTGGTGGTGCAAAGGGTTAGAGCACAGCCCTGCAAGCTAGCTGTGGCCACTTCAGTGCGAATTTGATCCCGGCCCTGGAGGTGATCCACATGGCGCTGCAGACCTCTCCTATCTCATCCCCTGCTCCCCTCAGCAGTGTGCTTCATCAATCTTCATGTTCTGCTCCCCACTCTGTCTCTGGTGTCTCTTATCACCCCTGCACCTCTAGCCTGTACTGCAGTTCTGTATGCATAAATAAATCAATCTTTAAAATAAAATGTTATTTGAAAAAAAAAAAAAAGATAAGCCTAGGACTAGCATTTTCTTTAGATTTTGGTTTACAGTTCACGCCCTTGGGAGTGCTGAAGAATTAGTTGTAGAAAGATGAATGGACCAGAAATTCTGAATTCTCTCCATCTAGGTGTCAGTGGGGCTTTAGGCTTCTGCCTTCATGCAGAACCTGGGTGTAAGAGTTCCTAATGTCTTAGATCCTTTCTGCCTATTATTCAGAAAATTGTGGCAACTCTGAAAGGTACTTACATCATTCTGTTTTAAAGAGTCTCTTAGTGTGTTAGAACAAGGCAGAAGGCAAGATTGAAACAAAAGTCATAGAAGAAATAGAAATAAAGGAGACTTTAAGCTCAAGAGCCAATCATGAATGTCTTGTCTGGACCAGAACCTTCAAAAGCCAGATTTGTCATGATGAGTCCAGATGCCAGTTCTGCCTGTCCTGCTCCACCATTCTCTTGAGGTCTGTTCAGTATCACAGTTTATGCTGGCACAGGCAAAGAGAAGGCAGAGTTTTGTGGATCGATAACTGAAATCTGATCTATGGGTCAGAGAGGCTCCTCTGACTCCCTTTCTAAGAGAACCTTAGGTTTATGGCCCAGCATCAGATACTTCAATCTTGCTTGTATGTAGAGCATCTTGTGTTTATCATTAAAATTTTATCTGGTGGTTACGATGCTTGTTTTCTGGGTCAGATCTTGAATCCCTTTTCATTTGAGACAGTGGTGTTTGTGGTTACCTCATTCCCAATCAATGTTGTATTCACCAGGCTTTCTGCAGTTATATATCTCCAAGGAGCTTCTTAAAGAGACAGTGACCTCCTCATCTTGTCTTCCTCTTGTACTTATCTAGTATTTTTCTTATTTTTTTTCCTTCTCTTCCTTATTCTCTTAAAATAAGTAGAATCTATTTAGAGGCTTTAGAGGCTTAGGTTTTTTTTTTTTTAATATCAAAAACTGTAACACTTTTGCATTTTATATAATCAGAGAACAAAGACTCTTGGAAAATCTCTTGCTTCTTTCCAGCTTTTTGCTTCTCTGTATAGATGTTCCTGGCTTGGAGTCACATTGCTTAGGTCTACACTGAATTTTTGTACAATTAGCCTTCAAATAATACCATCTTGGTTGCCTCACTCTCACACAGAACCAGAGTAACCTTTAGGCGCTCATTTGCTCACACTTACCTGAGACACTGGAGTTTCTACAGTGTGAATAAGATGGGCCCCTGCTTCCCTGAGGCTTGTTTTTCTAGCAGAGGGAAGAGACATTCTCAGGACTTTTTGTCCTTCTCTGTTTTGTCTATCTGTCTTTGCTTCTTTTGCTATTTCATGGATGATAATTTCCAATGATCTTTTTTTTTTTTTTTAAGATTTATTTATTTTTGCTTACAGAACTGAGGTACAGGCCAGAGGTGTGGTGGGTGAGAGGATTCACCAGAGACAGAGTGGAGAGCAGAACAGGCAGATTGACAAAGTACCCTGCTGAAGGGAGTAGTGGGTGCATCAGGAGAGGTTTGCCACACCATGTGGCGTCAGCTCCCTGACCGGAATTGAACTCGTGCTGCAGTGGCTTCAGAAGGTTTCATAATGCAGTCCTTTAACCCGTTGTTCCACCAGGGAGAACCCTCCATGATCTTTTTCTGATGTTCAAAGTCCTTTGAAATTTGTTTCCAACATACTTTTCTCCTCATGACTCTCCTCAATATAACTGAGATGTCATTCATATACAGTGTAATCTACCCTTTCAAATCATATGTCAGTGATTTTAGCATATTCACAAGGTTATGTAATCATCCACATCTAATTCCAGAACATTTTCATTACTCCCAGAAGAAACCCCATTCTCATTTTTTTTTAAAAAAGATTTATTTATTTATTTATTTGTACAGAACTGGGGTACAGGCCAGAGATGCGGAAGGTGAGAGGATTCACCAGAGACAGAGTGGGGTGCAG